AAAACACGACCCTCACTTTCTCCCGCGCCGGATGCAGCTGCCCCAACTTCCGGTGGACCGCTCGTGACCTCTGGGCTTTGTGGGAGATGTAGTTTAAAGGTCAGAGGCCGGGCCCCAGCAAGGGGTGGAGCTTGGGAAGGTGGAGTTGGGGAATTGGGGCGGGAGGTCGCTGCAAGGGGAGCCTGCAGCCCCGCGGGAGCGGATGCTTAGTCTTCCCTGAGCCCGGAGATGTTGAGCGTGGTGTGAACCCTTGTGCATTAGCGACTCCGTGTCAATAGTTATTAAAATACGGGATATTCACACCGTTCTTGGGAAATGCCTATCATCCCCAAAATGCATGGATTTCAAAAATTGTTTGCACCAAAATAAACTCATACTTTAATTTCGCTTTCCACAAACTTTTTGAAGTCACTCCTGCAACTATGCATTGCTGGTGGCAAGTACCTGTCTGAGAAAGGCATTGTTACATGATTTCAATGTTGTGCTAGTATCAGGAGAGTGCTTTAGCAAACCCAGACGATATTGCTAGGTTGGATGGCAGAACCTACTATAATCTTAGCGAACACTACGTTTATCAACCAAAATTATTTTATGTTGTAATGTGGTCGGCCATGAACTGAAACACCATTATGCAGCGAATGACTGTGTGTAGTTCTCTTCTTAGGCCTCAGGATTCTTTTGGAGTAAGTTCCAGACACCATATTACTTCACTGATAAATATTTCAGAACAAACTTTCTGGAGTTATGAATATATATTTACAATAAAAGTTCTTTCAAAGAACATTTCTACAATATCACTCACACAACTAAAATTTTACAATAATTGTGTAATAGTATCATAAAAGTTATTCAATATCAAAATTACTTGATTGTCTCTTGAATTTTATGCTTTACAGTTGATTACATAAGCAATGTCTCCACATTACATTTGTTTTTTTAATTTTAATAATCTATGGATTCTTCTCTCTTTTAATTTTTGGTCTGGCAGTTTATTTGTTCAAGAAAAATAATCATTCGCTCTGTGGCATTTCCAACATTCTGAAATTTGCGGATTATATTTCTGTGGTGTCTTTTCCCCCCTGCATTTCTTATAAACTGATGGTTACATTTAGAGAATTATATAAAGATTTGATTTTCTATTTCTCAAAAAAAAAAAAAGTTGCCTATCGTTATGGTTTACTTCCCATTACATATGTTAGGAGGAACACCACGTGTGGCTCTCTTGTTTTGTTATCATGGATCACTGGGTTCAAATGCTATCAACCCCGTAAGGTTCATGATAAACATTATACATTGCCCAATCATTTTCTTTTGGCTAATGGTTTTAGCAGCTATTGACAATTATTTCCCTGCATCCATTAGTCCATTAGGAGTTGCAAAATGATGTTACTCTATTTTTTGAAGGTTTATTTAATTTTATTTATCATTTTTTTTTTTTAAATTTGCTACAGGACTTGTGTGCTTACCAGAAAAGATGGGGTGTGTGAGGGTAGAAAGCAAACTGCCAAGTCCAGTACTCAAAACCACAGTCAGCCATGTGGGAGTCCAGCACCTTAACCACCATGCTGCCTGCTGGCCTTGATACTCTATTTTGATCAATCACTCTACATATACTAATTAAAATGATTTTATATTGAAGAAATTTATCTCATTGAGTGTACAAGTTATAAGGAAACGTAGGGTAAATATGAGTTTTTTCCTTTAATTTCTAGTTTTCAGAATAACTTGTTTTCTTAACCATTTAAATTTCTAAGTATACTTAGGATCTCATGGATAATAACATTTTTGATGTAATTCATATCATGGAACACATTATTTTAAACTTTAAAATTAATGTTTATTATTTTGATGCTGCAATCATTCCTTTCTTTACTTAATGGGAACCCCATCAAGTGGGCTCCTGAGTTATTTTGATCAGATCCTTGTAGTGTTTGATAGCTTCCTCTTACTCTATGACAAACTGTTTCAGATTCATCTTACAATAGAGCTCTGGTTTTATTTATTTATTTATTTATTTATAGCTTTTTTTTTTTTCTGAATAAGAGATACAGCGAATAAGAGAGATAGTATACTCAACAGGGTCTCAAAGCCACAGTCCGCCCCCAGCCTCATCTTGCCCTGTATTATGCGTCCGTGTGTGTCAAGGGTACTTAGAGAGGTCTCTGGATGTGAACCAGGAAACTTCCCATGTGAGTCAGTGTTGCATTTTACTGCTGCCCTGCTCCCCTTCCCCCTTTATTCCTTTTAGTGAGAAGTGGTATTTAGAAACCATTGTCTTTGGACATGGGGTGCTCATTGCTAAAAGGGTTACTGAACACCTTTCTGCATCTAGCTCTCTCCTAGGGAAATGGAACAGGCACTGATCCTGTTGATGAAGAGTTTACATTTCAAGGGCAGTAATGATGCCAACGTAGATATTATTGAAACAGAATACTATTTTCATTTTATTACTTTCTCATTTAGAAACCTAAAGCCTTCTCAGTGCCTACAAGAAAAAAACTGTCTACATTAGCTGCAGATACCCTCTTTACTATGTATTCAGCATCTGTTTGAACCCATATTTTCCCAAGAATTTCCTATATAAACAATTTCCCTGATCAAGCCGAATTGATCTATACACTGACCTTTTATACTTTCCTACCTCAATGTTTAAATGCTTATGCTTGTGCCACTTTTCTAACTTAAAAAAAAAAGCTTGTTTATTAATATTTATTTCTTCTATAAGGGAGACAAACACCATGAATAGTGTCTCCATGCTGAGATCCAACCTTGGTCTAAGCCGGCCTGCATCATGGAAGTGCACATGCCTATTGTGTGGAGGAAGTCCCGGGATGCAAACCCACAACCTTCCTGTTGTGCTGTTACTGCACCACCACCTGCTCTGGCTTTCTATATTTCAAACGCTTTTATTTATTCAAATCCTACCCACTTCTCAAGCCCAGCACAAGTACCTCTTTTATTGGATCATGTAGATCATTCTCACCAGTATCTCCTACTCTTTCCTCTTCAGTGTTTGCTGGCCCCTCTTCTACTGCCGGCACTCCTATTTCTTTGCTTGAAGGCTTTATTTTCTTGCCACCAAAGCACTCTTTGCCCACTTGCTGAGCTCATCAGCAAAGCCAGACAGTGAATACCACATGGGAGCAGCCCCCAGCTAATGACCAACCTGGCCTGAACTGGTATATGAATACCTCAGTCTTTCTCACTCTCTTACTCAGGGTCAGGTCTCTTTATCTACAGTGATTAATGACCAACTTAGAATTGGCGGCTTTCCCTCTTCCCTGTTTCCCAACCATGACTTTTCATGCTCACTTTCTTATCATTATTTACCTCTAGAACACCAACTGCATGTGAATCTTGTCTTAGGAACTGCTTCTGGGAAAACCTCAAATAAAACAGGGATTCCCTCCCCCCTTTTAAATTCTAAAAGAGAAAAACTCTATAATTTCCATTATGTAGTGCTTACCCTTCTCTGCAAAGTTTGGGAGAATCATTAACCATCATTAAATAAATGAATCCTTATTATCATTCATTCTGGAGCACATTATTTTCTGTTGTCTTTAGGAGAATAGTGTTATTGCAAATCAATGTGTGAAATTTGGATTGATTGCCCTTGAGGTGAATAATTTGGAGTTCAAAATGTAAAACATCGTTGTTTTTTTTCCCTCTGGCCACAGCATCATTTTATGAAATGGCCCATCTCTCACTATCGCCAGCCCTCTAAAAGCATACGAACCTCTTCTTATACATGAGTTGTAGCAGCTCTGGAAAGTTACTCGCTACCATTTCTGGGTGTCCTGCAAATAAATGTTATGTACAAAACATAGACCATTTCTTAAGACAAAAATATGACACTATATCTTGCAAATTTAATACAAATATGTCCAGTCATTTTTCTTTTTTTTTCTTTTTGGAGAGTTTTTTGTTATAGGGCGCGTGCGCTCGCCAGACAGACAGACAGAGACAGAGAGACAGAAAGTGAGAAATCACCCCCCAGGGGGGATGACCACGCCACAATCCCTTCTCCTCTGTTCTTCTCTCGGGATCTTGGGCACGCACGCACACGCGCCCGGCGTGAGTTTAAGTCACTGGGTCCGGGACATGAACCGTGGTCGACTACATGGGAGTCCAGTGACATAGCCATTACACTAACTGCTGGTCCCCCTCCAGTCATTTTTCTCTCAACCAGATAAAAACTTGATTATGTGGGCAATAGGTAAATACAAAATTATATAGATAATTTTGCTTGGTAGTTAACTTTATACTATCTGAAGATATGTTTTATTTTTTTTGCCACACACTGGTTTTTATTTTTAAAACATTTTTTCGTTTCATTCTGTTTTTGTATAGGGTATGTGCACTTGCCAGAGAGAAAGAGAGAGATAAAGGGAAAGTGAAAAATCACCCCCTGGGAGGATGACCATATCACAATCCCTTCTCCATTCTTCTCTCAAGATTTTGGACATGTACACACA